CGAGTGCAGGGGAGTGTTCCGATAGAGTGATTTAGGCAGAAATTTTTTGCATGCGGCAAGACTTCATTTGAGACACAATGAATCTCGAAAAGTTAGTCGCTCTTGGTGAGAAGATGGGTCTCTCTGGCGCTGAACTACGGAAGTGGGTCACCCAGAAAGAACAAGAAAAAAAAAGAGGGCCAAAGAAGAAAAGGCAGCTGAGCTGGAAAAAGAAAGGTTGGCGGTCGAAAGAGCCAAAGCGGAAAAGGCAGCTGAGTTGGAGAGAGAAAGGCTGGCCGCTGAAAGGGCGAAAGAAGAAAGAAAGGCAAAGGAGCGACAGCTGAAAGAAGAAAGAGAGCAGCAATTGAAGTTGGAGCTGGAGAGGGAGAAGTTGGCAGCCGAAAGGGCGCGAGAAGAAAGAGAAGCGAGGGAGCGACAGCTGAAAGAACATAGAGAAGCGGAGATGGCTGAAAGGGAACGGCAGCGGCAGCACGAGATGGAACTCGAGCGGCTCCGTTTGCAACAGCGAAGTGAAACTCCCGTCCAAGCTAGAGTTGAAAGCAGCGAGCGGGAAGGTCATGGCTTCCGCTTGCACCCAAGCAAGCTGCTCGTAGCATTTGATGAAAGGGAGGACGACATCGACGCGTACCTTCACAGATTTGAGACGATTGCGAGGAGCCAGAATTGGCCGGAACATCAATGGGCAACTGCTTTGAGTACTTGCTTGAGTGGTGAAGCGCTCAGTGTGTACAATAGGTTGACGCCGACCTATGCAGCCAACTATGCAAAGGTGAAAGCTGCTTCACTGAAGCGATTAAGATTTACTGTGGAAGGATTCCAGGACAGATTTCGGACAGGAAAGCCAGCTGATGGTGAGACGGCTATGCAGTACGCCGCCCGATTTAGCCATTACTTCGACAGATGGAGTGAACTTTTAGGGACAGCGCAGGAGTATATGAGCTTAGAGAGTTCCTCATTAGAGAGCAATTTCTTACTAGTTGCCACGCAAGCCTGCCACTGTACTTGAAAGAGAGGAAGGCTGAGTCACTTGAAGGCATGCCTGAATTGGCTGATCAATTCTTGGAAGCGCAAGGTGGAACTAATTTGGCCAAGGTCATGAAGGAGTGTCCCGAAGATTAAAAAAAACTCGGCGCCCGAACAAAAGAAGCGTGCACCGGAGAGTGTTCCGCAATGTTTTCTGTGTAACCGAGTGGGTCATCGCGCGAACAACTGTCCAACGATCTTTACAAGCCCTACGTTATTAAAATGTTTCAAGTGTGGTCAGACTGGACACAAAGCAGACGCTTGTCGCAACGGAGCGAGCCAAACTCACCAAGTATCCTGTGTGCTGGCAGCCCCGAAATCCGATAGTGATGCTGTCACCGACGGATTCGTAGAGTTGAAAACTGGGGAGAAACTTCCTATTGTGGGTGCTGTAATGACAAAACAGCCAAGCGGTGTTACGAAGGGAATGCCAACGCTGCCTGGAAAAGTTGCGGGGAAAAAGGTTACGGTGTTAAGAGATACCGGTAGCTCCACTGTTATCGTGCGAAGAAATTTGGTGCGGGAAAGTGAGTTAACAGGCAAAACGAAACCGGTTTGCCTAATTGACAGTACGATTAGAATGCTTCCCGAAGCAGAGATTGAGGTTGAAACCCCGTACTTCAGCGGGAAGGTTACTGCTCTATGCACGAAGACCCCCGTGTACGGCCTCGTCATCGGAAACATCGACGGGGCGCGAGGGCCGAACGATCCAGAACGTTTGGGGGAAGACCCGAAGATGGAGCCCCCGCCGACACAAGGATCGCGAGGTACAGTGAAGAAAACCCCCGTGAAGGATTTCACTCGAGCCCAAGGGGAAGCCCGGTTACAAGAGACAGTGAGTAAGGAGATGATCGTATTGAATGAGTTCACGTGCTGGGCAGCTGGACTTACGCCGGCACGACCTCAACCGACAGACAGTGTAACTGTGACGGAGTCAGCCCGCCAGGCCCAATGTCGTGACATGAACAAGCGGGTGACAGGATCGGTTGAACGTTATGACCCGTTAACGGTGTCGAAAGGGCCAACGATGGCTGAGCCGCCGCCTCAGAAACCGTAGTTGAAAGGGGCTCGTCGGAACAAAACGAGGAAACACAAGAAGAGATCGAGCGAGCACCGCAAGAAAGAACGCAAGCGCTGCTCCAAGTACACGGAATAGGTGTTGAGGTCGAATCGAAAGGTGTTTGACAGTGCTGAGTGCATTATGTTAAGTTAATGCGGTTGTTGTCCTGTGTCACAACTGTATGACGAGTGAATGAAAATTTTTGTTACGGCGATGTGATGTAGAGTATGGTACAATTGTTGTAAAGACTGACCTTTGTACATTTGTATTGCTTGAAGTATGTGATGGAGTATTGTATTCATGTACCTGTGGCTATATTCTATGTGTTGAGAGAGTGAATTGCAATGTACAATTGTATTGAGTGATCTATTGTGAGTGTGACGTGGCATGAGCGACGGACTAGGTTACAGTCTTTTAGAGTGTGGGGACTGTTCGCGCTCGTTTGTGTGGTTTTGAATATTGTGATATAATATTCCTAAAGTGGGGGCGGTGTCACAAAACGAGTGCTCAAAAAGGGCGCACTACCAAATTTTCGCGACGAAGCGCCGGAGTGACGCCGCGAGGTCAACGATAAAAAAGAAAACAAACATCCAAAGATTCCCCGGGCGCGCGTCTCTCCCCTCTCGGAAGCGTAGGTTCGCCGACGAACCTCCTCTTATCGCGGCCGAGCAAGCCCTGGAAATTTCTCGATGGAAAGGGGCGTGGTGATGCCGGGTTGCGTCATCCGTCGCGGACGGCCGTCGAACCGTCTCGCGCTTTCCCCCAGCCTTCACTGCGCATCGCGCCGACGAAATGATGAGAATTTTCTGGAATCTCGCGCGGAAGGTATTTAACCGAGCAGCAGAGATGGGAGATCAGGAGACAAAAGAAGTTAGTGCCAGTGTGCGTAGGATCATTCCGCCGCGTCTGTCGGTGAAGGTTTTGTCCTTAGTGACAAAGCAGTAGAAGAAGAAAGTATGCGTCAGTGTACGTAGAGTGTTCCGCCGTGTCGTCGGCGAAGGTTTTGTCCTCAGTGACAAAGGAGGAGAAGAAGAGGATTTCCACCAGAGGGGTGAAGACTCGAGCTACAGGCAAGAGTGTGTGTCTACTGCCAGCGAGCGAAGACGCGTTGCAACAGCTGCGTCTTTGAAGCCGACGTGTTTTCGGCGAAGAAGTTTGGAGCTTGGAGAGCGGCCAATTGAAGACGCAAGGTTTCCTGGAAGAGAAACTTTGGGGGCAGCGGAACGACAACAGCGCTGGACTCTGAGTGAATGATTCTCGGAAGAGTATCATTCAGACTTTAGTTCCAAGAACTTTGGACTGAATAAGTTTTCTAACTTTTTAGTCTTTAGATGTCTTGGTTGTTCGATGCGTGCGACTGCATTATAGTTCGTATTGTTGTCTGTGTCCGTTGTTTCGAGTGTGGCTGATTGTACTGTGTAGTACGTTGTTTGATTGGCGACATATTGTATTCAACTATTGTTGAGTGTACATACTTGTGTATCGTTCTGATCTGCCATATTTGAGAATATAATTTTGTTCTGTTTATCAACTCTCGGCTCAGACTTGTTCTTTGGGCCACAGCCGGCGTCCGCTGGCGCGCCAAATAGGACCACTTCTAAATTGTCCACGCTTTCATGGTGCGGTTCGGGGGGCCGATACTCCGGCCCTTGGAATTAGCCCGGCGATCACCTCCCAACTTAACGGGACCCATGACACGTGCGAAGGAGTGAAGGATGCATTGATAGCAGCAAAGTAAATTTCTAAGGCCACAAGCGGTAGCGTAAGCCTTGGGCCACTCATCAACCCGTGTTCTGATTGAGAAAATATACGTGGTTGAGTGCTGCTATACCAGGGGTGCGATTGTCGAGGTGTCCATCTTGTAAACTGTTCAGTTGGTCTTTTACTGATTGGCTACAGCTCGGTGAGCCACGCTCCCCCCTCTTTGAGGCCCTTGTTCCACAACACCACTTTAAAGTGACGAAGCTTTCGAAACTCTCGAAACAAATGAAAAGCACGGAATGCGTTTTGCCGCATCGCTTTATGCCCCTAAAGATCCACTCTTGGATGCACATTTCGGAAGTTGAGCATAAACTGTTATCAGTTAGGTTAGCCCTCGAATAAAGTTTAGCGCGGCACTGCCCTAACGTACCTGGTTGCTCAATACGCACTCCCTGCATTGTTCTCAAACGGTTGAACAGGTTCATTGCACGTTCAGGCTTGTCAAGCTTGTTGAAGTATCCTGTTACTTCGCAATTCGTCCACTGTCTTTCTCCTTGAGCTAGAAATGGGCTGGTGGGTTCGATGCGTAGACGTGGCAAACGTGCCATGACGTTACAGCTCATCGCTTTTGCGAGTAACTGAATGCGCTCCAGCAAAGTGGACATGTCCACTTGGTAGACACATCAATAACAGCACTTCAGACTTGTCGAGCGCTAGCGTAGCAAGAGCACAACTACCACGAACAACATGCTGTGGTGTTGTCCCACGTGTCGGTGCCATTGCGCTGTAAGTAACGGCGCGCTGTGCACCTCGCTCTTCGTATTGCCGATGCAAGACTCACTTGTCATACGTGCCACGATGCACGTGTCACAATTAACGAGATTCGCGTAATGTCTCGAGTCACGTACGGCGGCCGCTGCACTGTTCTCGCCAAGCGGAGGAGGAGGCCGCACGGAAGAGGAAAACAAACTGACCCTGCTCACGGCCGTTCTTACCAAGATGCATGTGCGAGAAGCAAATTGACGGCGGCTGAGCTTCAATGTTAAACACGCACACAAGATCACTTACTGGGCTTGCAACTGTGGTAGTATGGCTATTGCTCTAAATTATAGCAGAGTTCGTTGAAAAAATACAGCAACTAGGTATTGCGGTGAAGCTAAATTTCGACAGTGTGCTGGCAGCTACGGAGAGCTGGTGCTTGAAAAAAATGGCTTACCCCAAGGTAGTTCCTAGCAAGCGTGTAAACAAGCGGTCCGACGTTGGCCACTTGAATTACAATGACGAGCACTGAGCCGAGATTCCAGCCCTCGGGTAGTACAGGCACGAGCAGTGGCATCTGCACCCAAAGTCCGTTGACGCTCACCCAAGCACTTACGCCGAACAGCAGCGAGCATAGCGAAACGAGAATCCGCGCCCATCTACTGGAAGCAGGGTTCGGGGTCACCATGTAGCTAGTTGTTACGGGAGACCCGTCCATGTTGAGTTGTTACAGCAGTCCTCTTCTGCTCGTACGTTGTTCCTGTGGGTAAACGGCTCAATATTAGTTATCTGTTGATAGCAACAACATGGACACTCTCGGCTGGATTATACCACTGGCGTGAGCATCACCGTCACTCACCGTATATGTATGCGAATGTATATTATATATATATATATATATATATATATATATATATATATATATATATATATATATATATATATATATATATATATATATATACGCAAGAAAGACAAATAATGAAGAGAAAGACTCCGGCACGCGGTATCGAACTTGGAACCTCTGCATCGTGAGTGCGAGGCGTTAGCCACTGGGCCATCTAGGAGCACGATCTTAAACATTCAAACGGCAAGATATTTATATCTACCTCTTACCACTGGTGACGGGCATCTCGGGGGTAGGGGGTATTGTGTTTGCAGAATTACCAGCAAGCTGGCGCAATAAGCGTGCATAGCCACATTTTCACGGCGCGGCGTAGTGCGCTTTCATATTTCGCGCGTCTTTGCCTCAAGGAGAGCAAGAGGTCGACGCTTACTCGCGTGCCCTTATCTCGTGGTGGGGATGACCGTACGTCTTGCTCAGCCATGGGCTTTGAATGGAACGACTTTGTTGTAGTTACCAGGCGCACAAAGGTTACTGCAATCGTTGCACAATCTTCGTTTGCGGAAAGGGTGCGCTTTTCAGACGCCGCGAAGTAACAACTAAGACGCTTGTTCAAGTTCATCTGTACTTAAGAGTACGTTTTGTGTGTCATTTGTGCGTGAGAAATGCGGGGCACATTTCGTTGTGCTGACCATTTTTCGCGTCACATTCCAATTTGTTGCTATCGCGTTCATTGCTTCGCCTTTGTGGCAAAGCTGTAACGTTTTCATGAACTGCCGACACTGAGCAAGAAAAAAATATAGGTACTCATCCGTACTATTGAAAGTCCGGAACAAGATAAATAGAACTATCATAAGAAGTATATCAACAAGTTACTAAGATTTACACCAAAAAGTGAGATAGATCAAGAAAAATGCTCGAACAGATAATCATCGAATGTATTCGGGAACATATTCGAAACAATTAAATCAAAAATCTTGCATTGATTTATGAAGCTTGCATCATTCATTCATTCAGTCATTCATTGAACGCAATCCTAAATGAATGGGACACAGACACGTCCGTAACTCTTCATATCGGTGTTAATTTACCACTTCTTAGAAAGCCGGTTAATTTTTCTTTTCTTTCTTAAACAGGCCTGACACTGATTAGTGAAAGCTCTACTTTATCAGAAAGTTTCTCACACAGCGCAGTATTCAATGTTTGAATGTTGCAATAACAATCCCCTCAAACGCTTCCAGGAGTTCCTGTTCACTAAAGGTTTTACTTTTTACCTAAAATACATAAGCCAAATAACCCCAGTCACCCTAGTGTGTCAGGCATTGGTGCTGTAACTAAACTGCTTTCAAACAATTTTGATAGGTTTATTTGTACGCTACCTCTCACGCTTGTATTTTGACATATCAACACTTCCTATTTTACACGGGCATTATCAGCCTGAGTGATTCCTTTCTGATAACATTTGATGTTGCCATCCTTTACGCCTAAATTCCCCATGAAGACGGTGTTCGCGCAGTGGTGGCTACTTACCACGACCCAATCTTAGACAAATCTGTTTACAGTTCTGCATTATCTACAATACTACAACTCATTATTTGAGTTTCACAGTTCGAATTTCGACAGTTCAAGTCAGTGACACTTCAATGGGCACCGAAATTGGTCCGAATTACGCAAATATATTAGTGGAGCTACAAAGAACTCGTTTTCTTTCAACGCGTAAGCAACAACCTTACTAACATAAATCTTTTATAGACAATATTTTTCCAATTCGGCACCATGCGAAGCAGAACTTCTGACTTTCCTTGACAATTTTAACAAGGTTCAACCATCATTTTCATTCTGACAATCGTACCAGAAGAAATCTATCAGTTTTCTCGATGTCACAGAGTTGCTATGGGGCGAGAAAGTAGCTACGAAAGTATACAGGAAGCCAACTAACGTTCATCAATATCTTCACTTTAAGAGCAGGCATGGTAAACATTGTAATGCCATTATAGACTACAGTGAAGCGCTTTGTATTAAGAGGCTGTGCTCAACAAGTGTCAGATAAGACTGCACTCAACAAGGGCCAGATGCTTCGCGATGTCCTAAATGATAAAAAATATTATTTCTGATCACTTCGTCGTAGAACACAAAAGTAAAACGCCTTCTTACAAAAATATTTGAGTGCTTCAGTATGTACATTTTTGTAAGAGAGCTTATACAATGTCTGTCAGGGTTCAACTGCTTATGTATAGTTTTTAATTAACGCATCCACGATGACGCCTAATAATCCATCTTCATCCTGACGACTGACGTCCAAGATCAATTCAAGGTTAAACATGCCCTTGTTGTCATAGATGCCTGTAGCAGCTTTAGTAGATAACGTTGAGAGTAGAACCAAAGAAAGCCACAGAGTTTCATACAATAATACCTTGGGGAGAATCCAGCGCTAGTGTCTATGCGGGTTCCTTCATCGGGGCTTGTAACACCATGGAAATCGTGAAAACTGCAGGTTTCGGATATGCTTCAGACGGATGGTGTTCTTGAGATTCGCGACGCTTGTTTGCCGAATATTCAAGATAGCGATATAAAGTTATGTTTAAAGCATTCTGGCTTCATTCTTTTGTACGTATATTTTATTGCAAAAAGTTTTTGTGGCTATGTGGTAGAAGTGGCACCTGGACAAATATAACCACCCGAGTATGCATTGCTCTCTCACCGAGTTCCAGATTACGCATCAAGATATAATGAATTCTTTTCTATAGCAATTGAAAACGAATATTCTTGGTTCACCCTCGAAAGTACGCATTATGTATTTACGGAAAGAACAGTACACTCTTAGGTGAGAAACACGTAACGACTCATCTGCTGTGATTTCAGGTCCGTCTGTCTAAGTGGTCTGCCACCAACGCACCTCTCGTTTTCTTGTGAAGTCGAGTCCGTGGAGCATGACAGTGCGTTCATAGAGGTTTCGTATATACACTAGAGGAAACTCTAGTGTGTATAGGAGTAAACAGCCTACATGACCACCTGTTTTAGGGTGGTACCAGCTTTTGACCCACTACACGCCACCAACGCTCCTCCGCCCACCAAAACACATTGTTGTCAGACGTGTTGTGGCCTGCACTGCACGTAAGCCTGCCTCCGTTTCATCCTCGATCATACGGCCAATGCCGCTGGATAGACAAAGCCCGGCGTTAGCATCCACACGAGGCAGTAGGTGCATCACGCGTGAAATGTGTTCGTCAGTGGCTTCCAACGTCGGTGCAAACAACAAACAGAAGATGCATCAAGCGTGAAATGCGTCCGTCGGTGGCGTCCAGCGTCGGCGTCAACCTGCAACAGTAGATGCGTCATGCGTGAAATGTGTGCCTCTGTGGCGTCCAGCGTCGGCGTCAACCTGAAACAGTAGATGCGCCATGCGTGAAATGTGTGCCTCAGTGGCGTCCAGCGTTGGCGTCAACACGAAACAGTAGATGCGTCAAGCATGAAGTGTAAACATCGGGTCATTCAACTTCGGCGTCAACACAAAGCATTAGATACAATAAAGCCCCAGGTAGCACCAATTAATCACAGCATATTCAAGGAATGAATGATCATGAATGGGTCAAAACGTCCATCAATCCGTCCGTGGTTTCGTCCATGCGTCCGTCTGTTCGTGCGCCCGATCGTGCGCCCGTTCGTGCGTCCATACGTGCGTCCATCCATCGATGCGCCAGTCTAACCACACGTGCACCCGTTCGTGCGTTCGTTCGTCTGAGCATCCATCCGTCCATCCGTATGTCTGTCCATCTGCTTGTTTGTTTGTCTGTCTGTCTGTCTGTCTGTCTGTCTGTCTGTCTGTGCGTTCGTGCATGCGTGCATCCGTCCATCTAGTGACCAGTTCAAGTACCACCATCTCACTTCTTTGTATCATATAATAATGACGTATATACAAGTACCGCCATCCAGCGAACAATCCAAGCGAAAAACGAGAGTACGTACAACAATTCTGCTGTCAGCGCTTTAACACCAAGAGCGTTATGTTTACGCAGTGCTATGTTTTTCGTGACATGTGTGCCCGAGGGTGGGTATATGCCACTGGTTACGCACTACGACTACAGGGGGATGCACAATCCACGCCATAAGGAGCTTCGCCGCTAAAAATCACAGCGTATCCACGAGGTAAATGATGAAGTGGGGCGAAGTGGACGGATGGACAGATGGACGCACGCATGGACGGACATGGGCAAAAAGACAGACGGACGCACAGATGGACACAGATGAACTAACGCACGGACAGTCGCCACCACGGACAAATGGACGGACGAACGCACGGATGGTTACGTTTCGAGCTGGACGCATGTAACTTGTTGACGCCGAATCTGAACGATGCCACCGACGGTTACGTGTCGAGCTTTGCATGTAACGTGTTGGCAACGATGCTGGACGTTCCTGGCGGTAAGATTTCGCGCTTGATGCACCTAAGGGTTTGTGCTAACGTCCACACTGAACGACGCTGGACGACGGCCCGACCAGTTACGCTTCACGCTTCATGCATGTAACGTGTTGATGGTGACGCTAGACACCGCCGATGGTTACGTTTCTAGCTTGATGCATGTAACATGCTGACGCCAACGCTAGACGCCATCGAAGGATACTTTTCGCGCTTGATGCCCCTAACAATTAGTGTTAACGCTGATTGATTGATATGTGGGGTTTAACGTCCCAAAACCACTATATGATTATGAGAGACGCCGTAGTGGAGGGCTCCGGAAATTTAGACCACCTGGGGTTCTTTAACGTGCACCCAAATCTGAGCACATGGGCCTACAGCATTTCCGCCTCCATCGGAAATGCAGCCGCCGCAGCCGGGATTCGAACCCGCGCCCTGCGGGTCAGCAGCCGAGTACCTTAGCCACTAAACCACCGCGGCGGGGCAGTGGTTACGCTGA